CCTATGTCTCCTTGCCTCCAGTTTTATGCCTCTCTAATAGTCTTCATATCTCATTCTGAAAAAGAAATTTCACCATGTCTCCCTATCTTACAATTCGTCAGTATTTCCCCATTACTCACCATATGATAAAATCTGACTCCTTTGTATGATTCCCAGCAAGAATCATATGACATACTCAAACTAGAATTATTTTAGGAGAGTTTGGTAAAGGGAATTATTTAAAAAGGTAATGGAGAGGGTGGAAGGATATCATCATAAAGAAGTGTGTAGAACTAGAACAAAGTTTGCTCCATTACCATCTCTAGGCTTAAAGGAGCTAAGGAAGGGAGTGGTTACCAGAATCTGGAGACAGAGTGGGCTGCGTCTTGTTCTCAGGTTACTTTCAGACTTTAAGCTCATTCCTCTAATTTCTTTGACCTCTATTTTGCTGTACCTTCTTTATGTTCTCCCCTCTGAACTCAAATACGGTGGTAATTTACAAATCTGTATCTATCCCAAGTTTCTCTTTTTAGCCCTAAATCCATATATTCAATTGCCTTAATATGAATATACAGATATATCCCAGAGGTTCTTCACACTCAATATGTCCATACAGATTTATCATTTTCCTTCTAAAAGTTGGTTCTCCAACAAAATTCCTCCCCCCCACCCCCCCAGGAAACAGTACTACCATTTATCCAGTCACCAAAGCCAGAAACCTGTTGTTGGCATAGCAGACAAAAGCTATTTGCTTCCCGGACCAAATTTCTACAAGTACTCCAAGTTTATGTCAGATCACCCTCCTGCTCTAGCCAAACAAAATTATTTGCAGTCCTACAAACATGACATTCTATATCACACTTCTGAGTCTTTGCACAGGGTTTTCTTTCTTAAGAATATTCAGTTTCTTTTCTCTCCTTAGCTGATATTCTTTGTCCTAGTTATGTTTCAATACCAACTCAAGTTGCACTTCCTCTATAAAAATTTTTTGTCCCCTTTCTTATAAACCTCAAAAATCTCTAAATACCTCAAATATAGTTCTCTTATAAGTTTATTGATTGATGTTTAAGTCTGTCTTCCCTACTGAACTATAAGATCCTAGGTAGGACAGAATATTATTATCCTTGTCTCCTAACATAACTATTTCACTTGTCAGGGTCTTGGATCCCTCTGTAAACAGAGATTTTAAAAGTTTAAAATAAATGACTTCGCAGAATTATTGTGAGGATCAAAAATATCAAATGCCTAGTAAGGAGATGGAACAGAGTGGGTACTCATTAATTAGTGGGTGTGATTACTGTTGAAAATATGTGTGAAAAACCATTTCATGAAGAGGGGGATTATAATGACAATGAACACGCATGCTGCCTTGGAAAATCTCCAAGAAGCCCAGTTCAGTTAGAAAATAAGGTAAATTAAGACATGATGGAATATAAGGCTGTAAAGACAAAACAGACCCCAAATAGCCTTGGTTATCCTGTTAGAGTTTGATCTTGTATCTGCAAATACAGAGTCACTGATTCTTTAAGTGGCAAGGGATATTAGATTTTCATTTTCCGTATGAGTCTAGTGACACTAAACTTGGAAAAAGGAATACTTAGGAGTTTGATGCAATAATTCAGACATAAAATAATGAGGGCCTGTAATGGCACTAAGATAGAAAGGAACAGAATTATTTGAAAGATACAGACAGGACTATATTTGGATGCTGTGAGTGAGGGAATAATTGAATTGTTGGAGTCTTCTTAGTTTAAGATTTAGGCAACCCAATGATTGAGATAAGGATCGTATTGTGAGTCTGAAGTGTCCATTGGTCCCTCACTAGAAACTCCAGAAGACCGTTTGAAACACAAATTTGGAATAGAGATGAAATCAGAGCTGTGGTGATAATCACATCCAGGATGAAATGGCCTAGAAAAGAAAATGAAAACTAAGGACAAACCAATAATTAGGAAACTAACAAAGGTGAGTGCAGTTCTCTGGAACACTTGGGAGAAAATTGGGAGTAGAGTCAAGGAAACCAAATTAAGAGAATTTATGAGAAGACCCATGAAGAATATTAAACACAGTGGAAAGTTCACATGGGGTGAACTGAAAAGTGACCGTTGGATTTGACATTTGTTACCATACCATGGGGTTGCAATGGTATGTGAAAAGACAGGCATGGTTTTGCTATGGAGTAACTAAATATAAAATAAATGAGTTGAACCCACCTTGAAGGAGATGCATTTTGTAATAGTAAACATACCATTAACCTGAATTCAATAAATGTTAAGTTTAATCTATTTTCATTACATCCTAGAAGGCTTGGAGCCTTAAGTTCAGGAGCCAAGAGGTTCACCACTCCTATCACTAAACTCTTACACAAATTCTGTCGTTTTGTCACATACAGTTGACTGTTGAACAGGGGTTTGAACTATGCAGGTCCTTATGTGGTTTTTGTTTGTTTTTTTTTTCAATAAATACTACCAATGTATTTTCTCCTCCTTATGATTTTCTTAGTAACATTTTCTTTTCCCTAGCTTACTTTATTGTAAGAATACAGTATATAATACATATAAACATACAAAATACATGTTAATTGACTATTACTGGTGGAGAGGCTTCTAGTCAACAGAAGGCTAGTAGTGTAAGTTTTGGGGGAGCCAAAAGTTACACAGGGATTTTCGATTGGGTGGGGTTGGTGGCCCTAACACAACACCTCCCCCCCCCACACACACACACTGTTCATGGATCAACTGTGTTTT